TTGAATAATCAAAAGTTTGGATAATATTGGAGGATTGTTTATCTGATACCTTATAACAGGGTTAGTAGCAAAAAAAAATATCAAAAACTGTTTTTGGTGCATAAAAACTAATGATTACACTAACGTTTAATTTGTTTTTAAAAGTCGAAGCATTTTTAATTAAAAGAGTATATTTTAAAATGAAAGTCAATAAAGCTAATTTAAAACAATAGTAGCGAAAGAAAGTTGATAAATAAAAAATGCAAAGTAGCGTTTTTAAAAAAACATGTCAAAATCCCATGTAAATAATCGCATAAAATAACGCTTAAATTATTATTTAATGTTTTTTAACTAGATATTTCTTATTATGACCCGACAGCAAGCTTACATTGGCCCAACGTAAGTTTTAACATTGGCAAGTTTATTCCGTTGGGCCAACATTTAGCCAATGTTTTTTTTCGACGTATTATTTTCAATTCCGCAAATCGGTTTTTTGCAAATATCATACTATATTGGGCCAACATTTAACCAATGTTTTTCTTCGGCGTAATATTGTAATTCTACAAATCGATTTTTTGTAATTATCGTAATACGTTGGGCCAACATTTGGCCAATGTAGTTTAGGCTTAATATTTTGCTATAAAAATCTGTTCTTACTTTTAAGCCGTAGCCAATATTCGGCCAGATTAGTAAATATTTTTAAAACATTTTTAAAAATGGTATCGTTTGACAGACTAAAAAGAGGTTTTCATATTATCTTTCCATTTTTTTAAATTATATATAAAAAAAAGAAGCTATATTTATGACTCGTCTGAGAATCTTAAAAGGTTCGTTATATGAAATAAATTTCAAGAGATTCTCGTGACTTAATGTTTTTTTTTTTTTTTTAATAATGAAATATTTTTTAACAGTTAAATAAATGCTTGAAACATTTTTTACTACAATGTAACTTATTAATGTAATAATAAAGGTAATAATTAAATTATTTTTGTGTAAGATCTTAAAGTTATTTTTTTATACTTATTGCTGTATTAGCATTTCAAATTTTTGATTTATTTAATAATCTTTATTAAATAAATGTAACATTTCAAATGTTCGATTTATTTAATAATCTTTATTAAATAAATGTAACATTTCAAATGTTCGATTTATTTAATAAAGAAGACATTTTAAATTCTTCTTTATTAAATATATCAAACATTTGAAATGTCATACAGTATAAGTATTTAAAAAAAATTTTTTTTCATAATTTATTTATAATAGTTTAGATTATATAGCTATTATAAGATATATTATTAAAGGTATCAGTAATATATATGTGGCATTGAAGTTGTTAGAGGCTGATATTTTACATTTTAAGTATGTCTTTTTTGTTTGATTGTGAAACCCCATCTACTAAAATATTAAAACAGTGTACAAAAAGTGATGTTATTAGAATATATATTCTACTTATGTAGAGCTTTCTAATATTGCCAGACATTTTGTTTTAAGATTAATGACTAGTCCATAATAATTTATTGAATTATGAGATTAAATCAATAAATAATCATTAAAATCAATTGAAATAAAAAGACTCAATTTAAATCATTATTTTTATTTGTCTGATTTATATTATGATTTGAATTGAAACAGCCCTTAATATATTCCATCTTTCTGAGGCAGAGGGACATTATTCTTGGTTTTATAATTTTTAATTTAATATCTCTGGATATTTTTCAAAATTAGTTTGCATACAGCAGTTAACAACTTTAAGCTTATACATTAACTTTCGTTATGACTTAGTTTTTAATAGTTTGATTTATAGATTTTTATAGTAATACAAGATTGAATTTAGAAGAAGGCTAAACTTCTGCTCTGGAGACAAAAAAGGAACATAGCAAAAATAACCAGCCAAAATAAAGATTAAAGAGACAAAAAAATGTGTATATCTTGATGTAGATCATTTATCCTCAATTTCTTATAATAAAACTAAAAATATTATTAAACTTTGGGATTTACCTGTAACTACAAACTCTTTACAGAAGTTCAATGTTTGCTCTGAGAAGTTAAATGAACAAAATTTATTAAATGGTAAGATTTTATATAAAACTCTTTATGTCTGATGATTGAAAATCTTTATTCATAGCTTTAACTTTTACAATTTTAAAGACTTTTTCATATATTACGGTCAAAAATTCAGAGTGTAATTAACATTTTATTTTATAATAATCAACATATCAAAGCTTACACCACTAGCTCGGTCAGGAAGCGAGAGCGATCGCTCTTGGATACTGACCACCGAAATTATATTTAGTTGCGAAGAACTGGCCAGGTTTTTTAGTCGTTTTGAGGACATTAATATTTATGAACGTAACAAAAAATTTTTGTTGGATTTTAAAGTCACCAACTTTGATATCAATTTAAAATCAACTGTTGAAAAAAACAACTGACTGTTCATATCAGTTTAAAGTTTTAACAGTTGCTGGTGGTTCATTATTATTTATTATATAAACGTTTATTTAAATTTATCTAATAGACAAAGGTAATACGATATTTTTGTAGATGATATTATGTTTTAAATTGTATTATTAAAATTCAGAACTAAAATATGTAAAAAAAATTATATTCAAACATTGGACAAGGTCTGTACTGTACCTGGAAAATCTGGAAATTATGTTAATATTGGCCAAAGTGGTGGAAAACCTGGAGAAGTCAGGGAATTATTTTTTTTTTTTTAGATAGTCATGAAAAAGGCAGTAATTCTAGTTAAGAAGTTACTCGTTTCACAATTGAATGCAGTATTTTGAAAACGTGAAGAGTCACACTTTTTAAAATTGAGGTTATTTAAAAAAAATATTTTTTTTAGTAAAAGATAAAATTATAAGATAAAAAAAAGATTTTTTAGATAAAATAAAGATTTTTTTTTTGATAAAAAAAAATAATTTTTAGTTAAAATAAAAACAAAATTTTTTTTAGGAAAAATGTTTTTTACTCTCCTGTAAAACTTTAATTTTATGACTTGTCACATTTTCAAAATACAGCGCTCAAATTAAGCTATTATGTTTTTTTTGGTGCTACTAATTAATTTTTTCTGAAACATGTTTTTCTTAGTGTTTATTCTTAATCATCCTTAATAATAAGAACCATACCAACATGTATAATAAGATCTATACTAATATCTAACTTAAGTAATAGCTAAGTTTTATAAGTTTTGTCATTCAAAGCATGTATATTCTTAGCATTTTCATTACAGTAGAGAGTAATATTAAACATTTTAGGGAAATTCATCTGATTTTTCAAAAAAGTCATTTAATTTTATATAAAAAGATATGCTGGTATTATTGGCACAATAGGCAAGCATTGAAGTGCAACTTGGTGAACTATTCAGTTATAATAATTTGTTTTACATTCAGTTATAAAAATTTGAGTATTAAAGGTATGCTAATTATTGTATTGCCTGAAAGAGTGTCATTGCCATTAAAAGCAGTGAAGAATTTAAGTACTCTGGAAGAAAAAAAAACAAGAAAACACTTTAGTAAATGGTAAATATTTTTTTATGATCTGTTTATGCATTTAGTATGATATGTGGTACAATTTATATACTTTAAATAAAATACTCTTTGAAGATTTTTTGTAAATGACATTTTATATTAATTTAAGTCTAAACAAAAGTTACTTTAATGACTGCCAGGCTGTGTGTTTTTGCAAGTTAATTATTTGGCACAAATTGGAGTTAAAGACGAAGGAGATTGTATATGTTATTTAGTAAGAATAGTTTATTAAAATGGCCTAGCTGTAAAATTAATTTATGCAGGGAGAGAATAAAAAATTGGAATAGGAAAAATGTTGATTGCATATGCTGCTATTGATAAGTGGTTTAGAAAAGTTTATTTTTTCAGTTTCAATTTTGTATTACGGAATTACTTTCAATTTGTTATTTTTCTTTGGTGCATAATTAAACAAACAACTTTTTTTTTTTGCAGAAACTGTAAAGTCAAATAAGTATGACTTATGCAAACATGTGATAGAGATAGCGGAAGAAAAAATAATAATCGTGGGCACCAAATATCATAAGTTAAACACGATTCAATAACAAGTAGCTCAGTCAATATCGAAACTACTCAATAAATTTTACAGTGAATTTTTTATTTAAAACTCAATGTGTCAGTTTTTGGTATAAGTTTGGTGTTTGCAATATGTATATTTAACCGAGAAATTATGTTTAATAAATAAATTTTTATACTTGTATAATACATTCTTTTTTTTCTCTATAATTTATCAATGTAGCGATGCAAATCATCTTATTTGTAACAACGATCTAATGTTGCATAAAACGTTAGGCCAATATAAAAATAATAATCGTGTTACATACGATGTTGGGCCAATTTTGTATACAACGTTGGGCCAATGTTGTTTACAATATTGGCCTAACGTTATATACAACGTTGTGCCAATGTTGGGTAAACGTTGTATACAACATTGGGCCAATGTTGTACACAACATTGGACCAATACCTAACCAATGATCAAACCTGCATTGGACCAACATCGACTTTCAACGTTGGGGCAATGCATCACCATGCATTGGCCCAACATTGGTCCAATGTAAGCTTGCTGTCTGGGGAACATGTCCTTCCCAGACAGTAAGCTTACATTGGCTTAATGTAAGTTTTAACATCGGCAAGTTTATTCCGTTGGGCCAACATTTAGCCAATGTTTTTTTTCGGCGTATTTTTTAAAATATTTTTGGGGAAAATTTTAAAATTATTATATTTCTTCAAAAAATATTTTTGTTTTTACTTGTTAAAATGCAAATCTAAATGATTTTTAAATAGATTTATAGAGTATTAAAATAACAAATATGTATAATATAATACAACTATAATGTCCAAGACATAATAAAATATAACTAGAATATATTAAAATAAGAAAGTCCATGAAAAATTAACAATCAAGCTCATAAACAAAATTAAGCTTATGGATAAACTTACAGAAAAAACAACATAATTTAGAAATGAATTTATGGAGTATTAAAATAACAAATATACAAATTATAATACAAAAAGTATAATTTACAAGACATATACAATATTACATAAAAGATAAGTAATCGTATTATAATAAGAAAATCCAATGATTGATTTATATCAAATCATCTACACTCTATTGCTTGAATATTCTAACACTGCTCTTCTCAGTAGTTCTCCATGGTTTGATCTGGATTCAGATGTTGCGAATATACTCAAAGTTTTAAGCATGTTGTGATGAACAGATTCGAAACATTGCTCAGCAAATACACCTAGAGGCATTCTAATATTGTTTAAGAAAATAACAAGGTGGTGTTCAATAATATGACCTTTCCACCCCATTGAGAGATTGTGGTTAAAGTTAACTTTAACATAAATTTCAGTTTCCTAAATCAAAAGTAAAAAATAAATAGCTAAAATATGTCTATGACATAATATTTATAAATAAGAATTGTTTTTATGTTTATTTCTACATCATATTCAATAATTACTTTCCTAAAATTATTTTCAAATTTTAATTTACCTTTAACTTCTTAACATACATTGCAATAGCACCTGCATAACCCTCATGAAGTTTCATACCAAAGCACTTATCGACAACTAAAATTTCATGATTAATGTTAAAATTTAATCATATTTTTTAAAATCATGTTTTAAATTGAAAAAATAGTTCATACACAATAAATATATATATGTGTGTATGAGGTGTGTGTATATGTATAAATTACCTATAGAAAACGATTTTAACAGTTCAACAACTGGATGATAAAAAGGATAATGGTCAAAAATATGTTGTTCCAAATCAGGCAATAGCTTCCGAATTTTGTTAGCATTTCTACCATCTAACCCACCTCCATTATATCCATGCCAAATTATCCCATGGTTACTTAGCCATACAGCAATTTCTGGTTCTTTACATAAAACATTAGAAATCTCTGTAACAATCTTCATCAGCAAATTAAGTTCTGGTGGAGGAACTACATCTAGTACATGTGTATCTTCAGCTACATCAAGCAGACATGGATGCATTACATTTTTGTAGATCTGTATAGAACTTTTCTTAGATCCATTTTCAGCAAAACTTCCATACAGCAACTTTAACTTTTTGAAAGTTCTCAATTCTCCCAAATTTGACTTTTTCCCCCATTTGAATGTTTTGAACTTGCTGGATTTCTTTTAAAGATTTGGAGAGGACTTGTTCTACTGTTTTTAAACCTAAAATTTAACATTTAAAATTTGTCATAAGATTTAATAAAAAAGTTTACTTTTATTCAGACTATAATGTATTTATTCTGTTACCTTTTGAGATTAGCAACATTCTTAAGTTCTCCACAGTATCTTTCTTACTACAGGAATGTCGAATTCCCACATCGATTCTTTGATAACAATTAAAGCAAATTTTTTTAATAACTTCATTTGATATCTCAGGTTCATTTAAATAAACACTTAAAACATCCTAGAAAAATTTTTTTTATACTTAATAAGTTAGCACTAATGGTAATTCAATCAATTTTCAAATCAATTAGGAAAATTACATCTTATATTTTATGCAAATTGATTTTCAAATGTTTACATTACTAAGTTTACATTAAAAGTTATACATTACCTTCAGGTTTACCTCTTTGGATTTATCTCTGGACATAACACATAGTGGACAATCACAGGTTGACTCTGCATCACCTATATATATATATATATATATATATATATATATATATATATATATATATATATATATATATATATATATATATATATATATATATATATATATATATATATATATATATATATATATATATATATATATATATATATATATATATATATATATATATATATATAAAATATATATATATATATATATATATATATACATATACATATATATATATATATATATATATATATATATATATATATATATATATATATATATATTATATATATATATATATATAAATATATATATATATATATATGTATATATATATATATATATATATATATATATATATATATATATATATATATATATGTATAAATTTATATATATATATATATATATATATATATATATATATATATGTATATATACATATATATATATATATATATATACATATATATATATATATATATATATATATATATATATATATATATATATATATATATATGTATATATATATATATATATATATATATATATATATATATATATATATATATATATATATATTTAAACAATTTTAAAATGTATACTCTACAAAATAGAATGCTCAATGTTCTTAAAAGAACAAAGCAATTATAAATTAATATATATATATATATAAATATATATATATGAATATATAAATATAAATATATATACATATATATATATATATATATATATATATATATATATATATATATATATATATATATATATATATATATATATATATATATATATATATATATATATTTAAGAGAAATATAGAATACATATTTACCTTTAAATCTTGGAAGTAATCTAATTCTCTCAGATGTGAGCAACCAATTTTCTAAAGTTACAATAGATAATGACTCTCCTTTTTTGGCAGAGTATAAGTAAACCTTGCAAAGTAGATCTGGATTGTAGTTGCTGTTTGCATACATTTGAACCAGATTTAGGAACTGAGTTCCAGGTTCCAGCATAGAACATTTTAATTTTTTTTTACCACAACAAGCACAAATAATCTTGCGAGACAATAAATGATCTCTATGTTTATACCCAGACAGCAAGCTTACATTGGACCAACGTTGGGCCAATGCATGATGATGCATTGGCCCAACGTTGAAAGTCGATGTTGGCCCAATGCAGGTTTGATCATTGGTTGGGTATTGGCCCAATGTTATGTACAACATTGGCCCAATGTTGTATACAACGTTTACCCAACATTGGCCCAACGTTGGCCCAACGTTATATATTGTATATAACGTTAGGCCAATGTTGTATACAACATTGGCCCAACGTTGTATACAACATTGGCCCAATTTCGTATCTTATATATCGACCTAACGTTTTATGCAACATTAGATCGTTGTTACAAATAAGATGATTTGCATCGCTACATTGAAAATTTATAGAGAAAAAAAAGAATGTATGATACAAGTATAAAAATTTATTTATTTAACATAATTTATCGGTTAAATATACATATTGCAAACACCAAACTGACACATTGAGTTTTAAATATAATTTGAGTATTTTAAATATAAATTGAGTTTTAAACATAATTTATCGGTTAAATATACATATTGCAAAACCAAAAACTGACACATTGAGTTTTAAATAAAGAAATTAACTATAAAATTTATAGAGTAGTTTCGATATTGGCTAAGCTACTTGTTATTGAATATTGTTTAGCTTATGATATTTGGTGCCCACGTCTATTATTTGTTCTTCCTCTATCTCTATCACATGTCTGCATAAGCCTTGCTTATTTGACTTCACAGTTTCTGCAAAAAAAAAAAAGTTGTTTGTTTAATTATGCACCAAAGAAACATAACAAATTGAAAGTTTGTAATGCAAAATTGAAACTGAAAAAATAAACTTTTCTAAACCACTTACCAATAGCAGCATATGCAATCAATATTTTTTCTATTCCAATTTTTTGTCCTCTTCCTGCATAGTTTAATTTTACAACTAGGCCATTTTAAAAAACTATTCTTAGCAAATAAAATATACAATCTCCTTTGTCTTTAACTCCGATTTGTGCAAAATAATTGACCTGCAAAAATACACAACCTGGCAATAATTAAAGTAACTTTTGGTTAGACTTAAATTAATATAAAATGAAATTTACAAAAAATTTTCAAAGAGTATTTTATTTAAAGATATCATACAAAATGCATAAAAAAATTATAAAAAAATATTTACCATTTACTTACGTATTTTCTTTTCTTCCAGAGTACTTGAATTCTTCACTGCTTTTAATAGCAATGACACTCTTTCAGGCATTACAATAATTAGTATACCTTTGTTACTCAAATTTTTATAACTGAATTTGATGTGTTTTGTAGTTTACCAAGTTGAACTTCAATGATGACTAAGAATGAACACTAAGAAAAACATAAATTTCAGAAAAAATAAATGGGTAGCACCAAAAAAAAAACATTATAGCTTAATTGAGCGTTGTATTTTGAAAATGTGACAAGTCACAAAATTTAAATTTTACAAGGGAGTGAAAAATATTTCTCCTGTAAAAAATTTTATTTTTATTTTATCTAAAGATTGTTCTTTTCTCTAAAAAAATCTTTACTTTATCTAAAAAAATCTTTATTTTATCTAAAAAATCTTTATTTTATCTTAATATTCTTTTATTTTAAGTGAGGTTATTTGAAAAGAATATTTTCAAAAAAATATTCTTTTCAAATAACCTCACTTTTAAAAAAAGTGTGACTCATCACCTTTTCAAAATACAGCGTTCATTTGTGAAACGAGTAACTTCTTAACTAGAATTACTGATTTTTTCATGACTATCTAAAGAAAAAAATAACTTACTGACTTTTCCAGGTTTTCCACGACTTTAGCCGATAATAACAAATTTTCCAGATTTTCAAGGTGCAATACGGACCTTATCCAATGTTTGTAAATAATTTTTTTTACATATTTTAGTTCTGAATTTTAATAACACTATTTTTAAAAATAATATCATTTATAAAAATATTGTATTACCTTCATCTATTAGATGAATTTAAATAAACGTTTATATAATGAATAATAATGAATCACCAGCAACTATTAAAACTTTAAACTGATATGAATACTGATATAAATACAAATACTGTTGTTTTTTTCAACATTTGATTTCAAATGATTTTCAATTGGTGACACCAACTTTGAAATTCATCAAAAATTTTTTGTTACGTTCATAAACTTAAATGTTCTCAAAAAAACTAAAAAAACCTGGCCAGTTTTTCGCAACTAAATATATTTTCTGTGGTCAGTATTCGAGAGCAATATATGAAAAAGTTTTCAAAATTGTAAAAGTTAAAGCTATGAATAAAGATTTTCAATCATTAGACACTTACCATTTAATAATTTTGTTCATTCAACTTTTCAGAGCAAACATTAAACTTCTGTAAAGATTTTGGAGTTACAGGTAAATCCCAAAGTTTAATAATATTTTTTGTTTTATTATAAGAAAATGAGGATAAATCATCTACACCAAGATATACACAATTTTTTGTTTCTTCAATCTTTATTTTGACTGGTCATTTTCGCTGTCTTCCTTTTTTGTCTCCAGAGCAGAAATTTAGCCTTACACTAAATTCAATCTTGTATTGCTTTAAAAATCTATAAATCAAATCATTATTAATTAATTTATAACTAAAGTTAATGTAATATAATAATGTAATAATAATAAAACCCTAAAGTTGTTAACTGTTGTACGCAAACTAAATATGGAAAATATCCAGTGATATTAAATTAAAAAACAATGAAACCAAGAATAATGTCCCTCTGCTTCGTAAAGATGGAATATTAGAAAGCTCTTCATAAGTAGAATATAAGTTCTAGTAACATCACATTTTGTACACTGTTTTAATATGTTAGTAGATGGGGTTTCATAATCAAACACAGAAAAAATCAAACAAAAGAGACATATTTAAAATGTAAAATATCTGCTTCTAACAACTTCAATGCCACATATATATTATTGATACCTTTAATAATATATCTTATAATAGCTATATAATCTAAACTATTATAAATAATGAAAAAAAAAATTATACTGTATGACATTTTAAATGTTTGATTTATTTAATAAAGAAGACATTTAAAATGTCTCCTTTATTAAATAAATCGAACATTTGAAATGTTTCATTTATTTATAAATAATAATATTAAATTTTATAAAATAATAATAAAATTTAATAAATTAAATTTAATAAAGATTATTAAATAAAACAAACATTTGAAATGCCAATACAGCAATAAAAATAAAAAAATAACTTTAAGATCTTACAAAAAAATAATTTGATTATTGCCTTTATTATTACATTAATAATTTAGATTGTAGTAAAAAATGTTTTAAGCATATTATTTAAATGTTAACAAATATTTCATTTAAAAAAACAAAACATTAGGTCACGAGAATCTCTTGAAGTTTACTTCTTATAAGAAACCTTTTAAGATTCTTAGAAGATTAATAAATATAGCTTCTTTTTTTTATTTTTATTTTTTAATTAAATGGAAAGATATGTAATAGTATCAAAACCTTTTTTTGTTCTGTCAAACGATACCATTTTTAAAAAATGTTTCGAAACAATTTAAAAGTATATACTAATCCGCAACTACATTGGCCAAATATTGGCTACGTTAAAAAGTAAAAACAGATTTTTATGGCAAAATATTAAGCCTAAACTACATTGGCCAAATATTGGCCCAACGTAGTACGATAATTGCAAAAAACCGATTTGTAATATTACGCCGAATTGCAATATTACGCCGAAAAAAAAACATTGGCTAAATGTTGGCCCAATATAGTACGATATTTGCAAAAAACAGGTTTGTAGAATTGAAAAAAATACGCCGAAAAAAAACATTGGCTAAATGTTGGCCCAACGGAATAAACTTGCCAATGTTAAAACTTACATTGGGCCAATGTAAGCTTGCTGTCTGAATAAGGCATGTCACTAATACTAATTATGCTAGTGATATTTGACTGAATATATATATATATATATATATATATATATATATATATATATATATATATATATATATATATATATATATATATATATATATATATATGTATATATATATATATATATATATATATATATATATATATATATATATATATATATATATATATATATATATATATATATATATATATATATATATATATATATATGTATATATATAATATTAATACAAAATATTTTGAAGTTAGAAATAAAAATATTATAAATTATCAATAATTATTTCAACTTTATCAAAACCTTTTACATAAGCACCAAAATATTTTTTCAACAAATTCTATTCATTAATTTTCTTATTGTTTAAGAAAGTAAAAAAAAAAATTATAAAAAAATTGTATGTCACAATTTTTTTTTGGGAGAGGGGAAATTTGCCCCAATTCCCTAAAAAGATTTTTTCATCAGGATGTACGCCAAACAATTCGTTCTCTCCATAGATCAGTCTGTTTACCATTCCTTAATATCATGAAACTAAAATTTTTGAAGTAATCAAATTTTTAACCTAAACCTACTACATTTGACTAGTGTATATTGAGCCAACATTTAGCCAATGTTTTTTTTTTGGCGACATATTGCAATTCTACAAATCGGTTTTTTGCAATCATCGTACTACGTTGGGCCAATATTTGGACAATGTAGTTTAGGCTTAATATTTTGCCATAAAAATCTGTTTTTACTTTTTACCGTAGCCAATATTCGGCCAAGGTAGTTTTGGATTAGTATATACTTTTAAAATGTTTCGAAACATTTTTTAAAAATGGTAACGTTTGACAGAATAAAAAAAGGTTTTGATACTATTATGTATCTTTCCATTTAATTAAATTGTAAAAATAAAAAAAAGAAGCTATATTTAATAATCTTCTAAGAATCTTAAAAGGTTTCTTATAAGAAGTAAACTTTAAGAGATTCTCGTGACTTAATAATTTGTTTTTTTAAATGAAATATTTGTTAATATTTAAATAATATGCTTAAAACATTTTTTACTACAATCTAAATTATTAATGTAATAATAAAGGCAACAATCACATTATTTTTTTGTAAAATCCTAAAGTTATTTTTTTATTTTTATTGCTGTATTGGCATTTC